CGAGATTTTTAAAGTCAGGGTCTCACTCTGTCACCCAGGCTAGAGTGCAATGGCACGATCACAGCTCACTGCAACCTCAACCTCCAGGGCTCAAGCGATCCTCCCACCTCAGCCTCCCCAGTAGCTGGGACCACAGGCATGCGCCACCACATCCAACTAATTTTTAATTTTTTTTTGTAGAGATAGGGTCTCCCTGCGTTGCCTAGGCTGGTCTTGAACGCCAAAGAAAGTAACATTTTGGATGTTCTGGTCTTGCTTTTGATCCGTAACTGAACAGTTACTGTTAATACATTAAGTCTCTTCCGCCCTCTAGTGGTTCACTTTATTTGCACCCCGGGAACAACATATGAGTGTTCCCTTTATATGATGGTCCAGTCCTCTTTTGGATATTTTTTGGAATCCCTTTGGCCTCCAGCCTGTTTCCTGTAACCTCCCAGTTTGCTGCCCGCCACAAAAGTATACACACAGCCACCTGTTGCAATATACATATATAAGTATATATATTTTTTGATATGGAGTCTGGCTCTGTCACCGAGGCTGGAGTGCAGGGACGTGATCTCGGCTCACTGCAACCTCAGGCAATCTGCTCACCTTGGCCTTTCAGAGCGCTAGGATTACAGGTGTGAGCCACTGCTCCAGACTTTTTTTCTTTTTCTTTTTCTTTTTTTTTGAGACAGGGTCTCACTCTGTCACCCAGGCTGGAGTGCAGTGGTGTGATCACAGCTCACTGCAATCTCCACCTCCCTGGCTCATGAAGCGATCATCCTGCCTCAGCCTCCCAAGTAGTTAAGACCACAGGTGCACACCACCATGCTTGGCTGATTCTTAATTTGTTTGTAGAGACAGGGTCTCACTATGTTGCCCAGGCTGGTCTCAAAAACTCCTCCCACTTTGGTCTCCCAAACACTGGGATTACAGGCGTGGGCCACCATACCCAGCCTGTGCCTGGAGTTTTGAGTTCACTTTTAAACTTAGAAGGAAGGCAGGCAGCCTAGCCCTCCTGGTGGCCACTCCTATCCATGAAGCCAGTCAGAGGGATAAGGAGAGCCTGGCCCTGGTGACATCATTTGAAGCCTGGACCCAGCCAGGTCTGCAGCCTGGGGCTGAACTTCAAAAGCATATATGCTGGCCGGGCACAGTCGCTCACGCGTATAATCCCAGCACTTTGAGAGTCTGAGTTGGGCAGATCACCTGAGCTCAGGAGTTCTAGACCAGCCTGGGCAACATGGTGAAAACCCACCTCTACTAAAAATACAAAAATTAGCCAGGCATGCTTGTGTGCACCTGCAATCCCAGCTACTTGGGAGGCTGAGGCCAGAGAATTGTTTGAACCCAGAAGGTGGAGGTTGCAGTGAGCCAGTGAGCCAAGATTGTGCCACTGCACTCCAGCCTGGGTGACAGAGCAAGACTCTGTCTCAAACAAACAAACAAAAGTATATATTGCTGATTGTCCATTTGTGATTTCAGCCAGTTTGGGTTGAATATTTTGTCCTTTTTCACCAATAGACCTTCCTGATTAAGCAGACCACCTGAGGTCAGGAGTTCAAGACTAGCCTGGCCAACATGGTAAAACCCCGTCTCTACTAAAAATACAAAAATTACCCAGACATGGTGGTGGGTGTCTGTCATCCCAGCTGCTTGGGGGGCTGAAGCATGAGAATCGCTTGAACCCAGGAGGTGGAGGTTGCAGTGAGCCAAGATTGCACCACTGCACTCCAGTCTAGGCGACAGAGACTCTGTCAAAAAAAAAAAGTATATATGCTGATTGTCCATTTGTGATTTCAGCCACTTAGGGTTGAATATTTTGTCCTTTGTCACTAAGAGACCCTCCCGATGGAGACTAGGGTGTACAAGGGTCATGTAGCTTGTTAGAATTACAGCCTGGAGTCCGGGCACAGTGGCTCACGCCTGTAATCCCAGCACTTTGGGAGGCTGAGGCAGACGGATCACAAGGTCAGGCGTTCGAGACCACCCTGGCTATCACGGTGAAACCCTGTCTCTACTAAAAATACAAAAATTAGCCAGGCGTGGTGGCGCGCGCCTATAATCCCAGCTACTCAGGAGGCTAAGGCAGGAGAATGGCGTGAACCTGGGAGGCGGAGGTTACCCAGGCCTCCTGCTTTTCAGCTACCTTTATGCCCCAGGAGGAGGCTGTGAGGAGGGACCAGCGGAGCCAGAGGACAGATACTGGGGATAGAGTGGGATTTTTTCTTTTTTTCTTTTTTTTTTTTTGAGACGGAGTCTCGCTCTGTCGCCCAGGCTGGAGTGCAGTGGCCGGATCTCAGCTCACTGCAAGCTCCGCCTCCCGGGTTCACACCATTCTCCTGCCTCAGCCTCCCGAGTAGCTGGGACTACAGGCGCCCGCCACCTCGCCTGGCTAGTTTTTTGTATTTTTTTGTAGAGACGGGGTTTCACCGTGTTAGCCAGGATGGTCTCGATCTCCTGACCTCGTGATCCGCCCGTCTCAGTCTCCCAAAGTGCTGGGATTACAAGCGTGAGCCACTGTGCTCAACCACCCTCCCCAGGAAGATTTTGAACTGAGGTTCTCAACTCTTTGGGTGGTCAAACACCTCTTTAGGGGATGTCATGGAATCACAGCTCCTCTCCCCCAAATACACCAAGACACAAAACATTTCGTAGATAATTTTACAAGTTTATAGAAATCCCCAATTCCACCTCTTCCTACCACCATGATCCATCCTGGAGCCACAAGTGAAAAAACCTCTGGTTTCTAGGACAAGAAAGGAAGAAGGACCCAGAAGCAGATGACCAGGGATCTAGGTTCAAGTCCACTACTGACTCACTGCAGTGCAAGGAGCTTTGGAGGACAGACTGGGTTCGAGTACAACTGTGTGGCCTTAGGCAAGTGACTTGCCCTCTCTGAGCCACATCTATAAAATGAGAGTATTCTCATCTATCTAAAGTGATACACTCCAGGTGCCTAGATTGTATGCCCAAACACCATCTTTTGCACACAATGTCAAGTGGTCTGTGGAAGCTGAAACCCATCCAGGGCCCCCAGATTAAGAACCTCTTACTATGTGTCCAGGCTGGAATGCAGTGGTACAACCTCCACTTTCTGGACTCAAGCCATCCTCCACCTCAGCCTCCCAAGTAGCTAGGACTACAGGCTCATGCCACCACACCCAGCTAATTTTTTTTAAATTTTTCATAGAGAAGGGGTTTTGCTGTGTTGCCCATGCTGGCCTTGAACTCCTGGGCTCAAGCGTCCTCCTGTCCCAGCCGCCCAAAATGGCCTTGCCCTGGCTTTTGATATCGTTGGTTTCCTCTTGTCATTGAGGGCTCAACTGCAAAACGCACTCCCTGAACCACCCATGTGATAGTGCTGCTCCCACAACCATCATCTTCCAGAATATTACTGTGTTTTATCTTTTTTAGCACCCATCAGTGTCTGGAAGTGCTTTGTGTGTGTGTGTATTTGTTTAATATCTATATCCTTCATTAGGGCAAGGACGTTGCATGTCTTTGTTCTCTTGGATCCCCAGAGGCTAGTGTCTGATATATAGTAGGAGCCCAATACATGTATGTGTGTCGAATGAGTGAATGAATGAGCAGTTGAAACGTAGATGAACAAAAGGATGGTTGCATGATTTGGATGGATAAATGAATGGACAAATGAATGGCTAAATATAGGCGAATGGATGGATGGACAGAGGGAGGCAGGGTAAGGTGATGGATAAATAATTGGGTAAATGAATGGATAAATGGCTTAATAGGTAGAGGAATGAAAGGATAATAAATGATGGATGATGATGAATAATTGATAATGGATGGATGAATGCATAGTTAGATGGATGATTCAATGGATGAATAGATACATTAATGAATGAATAGGTGGATTAAAGGATAGATAATAGGTGAAAGATAGAATGGTTGGATAAATTATTGGATGGGCAAATTAAAGGATGGATAGATGGATAGTTCAATGGAGAGTTCAATAGATGAATGAATGGATGGATGGATGGATGGATGGATGGATAGATGGATAAATTAATGGTGGCTGGATGAATGGATAAAGTAATGGATGGGTGAATTAAAGGATGGATGGAAGGATAGAGAAATTAATGTGTGCATGAATTAAAAGACAGGTAGATGGATAAACTAATGGGTAAATAAATTAAAGGATGGGTAGGTGGATGGATAGATGGATAAATTAATGGATGGATGAATCAAAGGATGGGTGGATGATGAATGGATGGATAAATTAATGGGTAGATGAATTAAAGGGTGAGTGGATGGATGAATGAATAAATCAATGGTAGATGAATGAATGAATGGATGGATGGATGAATAAATTATGGGGCAGATGAATTAAAGATGAGTGGGTGGCTAGATGTTTGTCAAACTCTGTGCTAAGCACTTCACACACATTCATTTGTTTTAACCCCACAAAAACCCCCACAAGACAAGGAATATTATGTTTATTTTACAGACAATGTCCTTGAGCTTCCAAGGAAGGAAAAATCACTTCCCCAACATTGTACAACTAGAAAATGGGGGAGCAGGAATTCTAACTTAGGTCTGCCTGACTCGAAGCCCCGTGCTCTTAACCATCATGAAAACCGCCCTTCCCCACCATCCCACCACTGCTTTAAAGACTATCCTCACTTGTCTCTCATGTCCACATGTCCCCAAAGCACACAGATTGCCCGCTCTGGGACTCTGCTTTCCTCAGCTGTGAACCTGAGGACCTCACAATTACATGGGAGGAGGTGGGTGGGTCTGCACGCAATGTCTCCACATGTATGTGTGGATGTAGAATGAGGTGACTGGAAGTCATGTTCATTCTCTGGGGTGCCCCACAAGAACCAGGGACATTGCCATGGTCAAAGACAGATGAGGGAGTCTGGTAGTGACCACCAGTATTTAGAAGCTAATATTTATTTATTTATTATTTTTTGAGATGGAGTCTCGCTCAAGTCGCCCAGGCTGGAGTGCAGTGGCGCAATCTCAGCTCACCGCAACCTCCGTCTCCTGGATTCAAGCGATTCTCCTGCCTCAGCCTCCCAAGTAGCTGGGATTACAGACGTGCACCACCACGCCCGGGTAATTTTTGTATTTTTAGTAGAGATGGGGTTTTGCCATGTTGGCCAGGCTGGTCTTGAACTTCTGACCTCAGGTGATCCGCCCTCCTCGGCCTCCCAAAGTGCTGGGATTACAGGCGTGAGCCACCGCGCCCGGCCTGGAAGCTAATATTTAGATGCCACATCCTTCAGTCACCCCAGTACCTGGTGACTCAGCCCCACCAGCTCATGTGACAATGGTCACTGGGAGGCTGTGGACACAGAGGAGGAAATGAAAGAGGGTGTGGGGGGTCATGGAGGGGAGATGCGCGAGACAGCCCCCCACAGTCACCAGGTTGCTGCTCAGAGATGTCACAAAGTCCATCCTTGGCCTCAAGGCAGGGCAGCGCAGGACAAGGAGGACACAAAAGGGGAAACAGAGGAAGGAACCATGAGCGTCCCTCAGGTGCAAGTCCTGACTGGGGCTCTCTTCTCAAGACACAGGCAAGTTGAAGGGTAGTGGTTGCATAGTCAAGAGACTGGCAGGTCTCAGCAGTTCTTGTCATCACCCCGGATTTCCACATAGGGCAGCCCCACGGGCCAACTGTCCCGAGGCCAGTAGCGGACTTTGAGGGTTTCGCCTGGCATCTCATAGTTGGCATCCACCAAGGCCATGGTGACCATGCCATAAGGGAAGGTGATGCTGATGAGCACGTGCCTGTGGAATGCAGAGCGAAGGTGGTGATGGCATAAGATGCCCATAACCTCACACTGGCCCTCTTTTTATTTCTCATGGATCTTTTTTTTTTTTTTGAAACGGAGTCTCGCTCTGTCACCCAGGCTGGAGTGCAGTGGCCCAGGGTCTCTGCTTACTGCAAGCTCCACCTCCCGGGTTCACGCCATTCTCCTGCCTCAGCCTCCCGTGTAGCTGGGACTACAGGCGCCCGCCACCACGCCCAGCTAATTTTTTGTAGAGATGGGGTTTCACTGTGTTAACCAGGATGGTCTCGATCTCCTGACCGCATGATCTGCCCACCTCGGCCTCCCAAAGTGCTGAGATTACAGGCGTGAGCCACCACACCCAGTCTTTTTTATTTATTTATTTATTTTTTTGAGGTGAAGTCTCCTTCTGTCTCCCAGGCTGGAGTGCAGTGGCAGGATCTCCGCTCACTGCAAGCACCGCCTCCCAGATTCACGCCATTCTCCTGCCTCAGCCTCCTGAGTAGCTGGGACTACAGGTGCACCTCACCACACCCAGCTAATTTTTGTATTTTTAGTACAGATGGGGTTTCACCGTATTGGTCAGGCTGGTCTGGAACTCCTGACCTCGTGATCCACCCGCCTCTGCCTCCCAAAGTGCTGGGATTACAGGCGTGAGCCACGGCGCCCGGCCTTCCATGGATCCTGACCATCCAAAGGGACCTTCTGGGTCTGGCCTTCTGACTGCAGCCTTCCCCTACTGCTAGGACCCAGTATCTGGTTCTCCTCCCTCTGCTCCTCGACCCCCAGCCCCCAGGCTCCTACTCCGAGCTCTGGCATCTAAGATTCTCTGACTCTGGGCCCCTCACAGCCTCAGAGCACGCGCTTACCAGATGCCGTGCAGATAGAAGAAATGAATCCTCTGCCAGAAGCTGCAAAGCAGACGGTCACTGATCCAGCTGGTCAGAGCAACAGCCCATAAAACCACGGAGACCTCAATCAGGTGCCGAAGCTCCTTATTGCTGGTCCTAGAGAGGGGAGGGGGGATCAGAGAGCAGCACCTGAGGGGATTGATGGGAAATTCCTCCTTCCACAGTGATGAGGCTCAGAAGCTGGGAGAAGGGCAAGAGCAGGAATTGAGGGTGTGAGCAGAGGGGGCCCAATCTCGTGCTTAGAACTAACACTGAGCATTGCCAGCACACCAGGTGCAATTTCAAATGTCCTTCAAGCCAGGCAAAGCAGCTCATGCCTGTAATCCCAGCACTTTGGGAGGCTGAGGTTGGGAGGATCGCTTGAGCCCTGGAGTTTACAACCAGCCTGGGGAAAGTAGCAAGACCCCTAAAAATACAAAAATTAGCCAGGCACGGTGGCAGGCCCCTGTAATCCCAGCTGCTCGGGAGGCTGAGGCAGGATAATTGCTTGAACCTGGGAGGCGGAGGTTGCAGTGAGCTGAGATTGCAATACTGCACTCCAGCCTGGAAGACAGAACAAGACTCTGTCTCAAAAAATAAATAAATAAACATAAATAAATAAATATAAATAAATAAATAAAGATAATGTAGGGTGGATGCAGTGACTCATTCCTGTAATCCCAGCACTTTGGGAGGCTGAGGTGGGTGCATCGCTTGAGCCCAGGAGTTCAAGACCAGCTTGGGCAACATGACAAAACCCTGTTTCTACAAAAAAATAAATAAATAAATATAAAAGTTATCCTGGCGTGATGGCATACGCCTCTAATCCCAGCTACTTAGGAGGCTAGAGTGGGAGGATTGCTTGAGCCCAGGAGATAGAGGTTGCAGTGAGCCAAGATCACACTCCTGCACTCCAGCCTGGGCGACAGAGCGAGGCTCTGTCTCAAGAAAAAAAAAGAAAAAAAAAAAAAAAAAAAAAGGACAAGCTCTGCAGTCAGTCAAGTTCAAATTCTGGCCCTGCTGCTTGTTAATGGATGACCTTGGGGAAGGGACGTGCCCTCCGTGATCCTGGAGTCAGGGGTGTTAGGAGGGGTATGGGAGCCCCCTGCCCAGGCACCTGCAGTGTTCACTCACTTCCTGTACTCCTGGCACACGATGTAGACAATGTGCAGGGCAATGCTGTTGAGGACGTAGGCGTTGACCGTGGGCCGCAGGAAGGACAGGGGGGTGCTGACCACGGTGGTGACGAAGACCAGGCGGATGAACTGGGACCTGGGGAGGAAGGGCCTCAGCTGTAGGTGGGAAGGACCGTCGTGGAGTTGTCGGCAAGGTCACTTGGAGATCTCGAGGCCCAGGTGGGTGAGGAAAGGAAAGGATTCTGGGGAGCCCAAATAGGCTCAGAAAAGGGTCCTTGCCAGGCAGGGCACAGTGGCTCATGTCTGTAATCCCAGCACTTTGGGAGGCTGAGGTGGGCAGATCACCTGAGGTTAGGAGTTCGAGACCAGCCTGACCAACATGGTGAAACCCCATTTCTATTAAAAATACAAAATTTAGCCAGGTGTGGTGGCGGACACCTGTAATCCCAGCTACTCAGGAGGCTGAGACACAAGAGTCACTTGAACTCAGGAGGCAGAGGTTTCAGTGGGCCAAGGTCGTGCCATGGCACTCCAGCCTGGGTGACAGAGGGAGATTCTGTCTCAAAAACAACAACAAAAAAAGGGTCCTAGTCAGGCACGGTGGCTCATGACTGTAATCCCAGCACTTTTGGAGGCTGAGGCAGGAGGATAGCTTGAGCTCAGGAGTTCGAGACCAGCCTGGGCAACATAACAAAACTCTGTCTCTACCAAAAATACAAAAAAAAAATTAGCTGGGTGTGGCGGCGTGTGCCTGTAATCTCAGCTACTAAAGAGGCTGAGGCAGGGATCGCTTGAGCCTGGTAATTGGAGGTTGCAGTGAGCTAAGATTGTGCCACCGCACTCCAGCCTGGGAGACAGAGCGAGATCTCATCTCAAAAAAAAAAAAAAAAGAAAAAAAAAGAAAAAGAAAAATAAAGAAAAGAAAAGAAAACAGGTAGAAGAAGAAGAAGAGGAGGAAGAGGATGAAGAGGAAGAAGAAGGAGAAGGAGAAGGGGAAGAAGAAGAAGGGGAAGGAAGAAGAAGAAGGGGAAGGAGGAAGAAGAAGAAGAAGAAGAAGAAGAAGAAGAAGAAGAAGAAGAAGAAGAAAAGAAAGAAAGAAACAAAAGAAAGAAGAGAAGAAGAAAGAAGAAAGAAAGAAAGAAGAAAGAAAGAAGAAAGAAAAGAAAAGAAAGAAGAAAGAAACAAAGAAAGAGAAGAAAGAAGAAAAGAAGAAAGGAGGAGGAGAAAGGGAGGAGGAAGAAGGAGGAGGAGGAGAAGAAGAAGAAGAAGAAGAAGAAGAAGAAGAAGAAGAAGAAGAAGAAGGAGGAGGAGGAGAAGGAGGAGGAAGAGAAGGAGGAGGAGGAGATGAAGAAGAAGAAGGAGAAGGAGAAGAAGAAGGAGAAGAGGAAGAAGGGAAAGGAGAAGGGGAAGAAGAAGAAAGGAAGAAGAAGAAGAGGAGGAGGAGGAGAAGGAGAAGAAGAAGAAGAGAAGAAGAAGGAGAAGGAGAAGGAGAAAGAGAAGGGGAAGGGGAAGAAGAAGAAAGGAAGAAGAGGAAGAGGAGGAGGAGAAGGAGAAGAAAGAAGAGGAAGAAGAGGAAGAAGAGGAAGAGGAGGAGGAGAAGGAGAAGAAAGAAGAGGAAGAAGAGGAAGAAGAAGGAGAAAGAGGAGGAGGAGGAGGAGGAGGAAGAAGAAGAAGAAGAAGAAGAAGAAGAAGAAGAAGAAGAAGAAGAAAGAAGAAGAAAGAAGAAAGAAGAAAGAAGAAAGAAGAAGATCCTGAGGCTCCCAGGTGTACTCAGCAGAAAGTCTCAGGGAGCCCCAGCAGTGACTAAAGGGGGATCCCAGGGAGGATTGAAGAGGATGAGAAGAGGGTCCCGGGGGCCCAGGAGACTGTGATGGTTTCCAGGACCCAAGTGAGGTCAGGCAAGGAGTTCACGGGAGCCCAGCTGGGCTGAGAGGATGGATCCCTGCATCCGGGTGAATTTAAGAGATGTCAGACAGTGGCTCTCCAGAACCCAGTAGGGATTAAGGAAACATGACAGGGGTCCCAAAGGACGATCGGGTGGGCTGGGGGGTCCTGGAGGGCTCAGTTGAGTTAAGCCGGGTTAGAAGAGAATTTCACATGCCTGTAATCCCAGCACTTTGGGAGTCCAAGGCAGGTGGATCACTTGAGGTCAGGAGTTTGAGACCAGCCTGGCCAACATCGTTATCCTGAGTTATCCATCTCTACTAATTATCCATCTCTACTAATTATCCATCTCTACTAAAAATACAAAAATTAGCCTGGCATGGGGGTGGGCACCTGTAATCCCAGCTACTTGGGAGGCCAAAGCAGAAGAATTGCTTGAACCCTGATGGCAGAGGCTGCAGTGAGCCGAGATTGCACCACTGCACTCTGGCGTGGGTAACAGAGTGAAACTCTGTCTCAAAAAAGAAGAAGAAAAAGAAGAAGAAGGAGAAGGAGAAGAGGGAGGAGGAGGAGGAGGAAAGAAGGAAGAAGAAGAAGGAAGAAGAAAAAGAAGGAGGAGGAGGAGAAGGAGAAGAGGGAGGAGGAGGAGGAAAGAAGGAAGAAGAAAGAAAGAAGAAGAAAAAGAAGGAGGAGGAGAAGGAGGAGGAGGAGCAGGAGGAGGAAAGAAGGAAGAAGAAGAAGAAAGAAGAAGAAAAAAAAGGGGAGAAGAAAAAGAAGGAGGAGGAGAAGAAGAAGGAGGAGGAGGAGAAGGAGGGGGAGGAGGAGGAGGAGGAGGAGGGGGGGGAGGAGGAGAAGGAGGAGGAGGAGGAGGAAAGAAGGAAGAAGAAAGAAAGAAGAAGAAAAAGAAGGAGGAGGAGAAGGAGGGGGGGGAGCAGGAGGAGGGGGAGGAGGAGGAGAAGAAGAAGAAAAAGAAGAAGAAGAAAAGAAGAAGAAGAGGAGCAGGAAGAAGGAGGAGGAGAAGGAGGGGGAGGGGGAGGAGGAGAAGAAGAAGGAGGAGGAGAAGGAGGGGGAGGAGGAGGAGGATGAGGAGGAGAAGAAGGAGGAGGAGGAGGAGGAAGAAGCAGAAGGAGGAGGAAGGAAGAAGAAAAAGGAGGAGGAGAAGAAGAAGGAGGAGGAGGAGAAGGAGGTAGAGGTGGAGGAGGAGGGGGGAGGAGGAGGAGGAGAAGAAGATAAAGAAGAAGAAGAAAAAAAGAAGAGGAGGAGGAGGAAGAAGGAGGAGGAGGAGAGGAGGAGGAAGAGAAGGAGGGGGAGGGGGAGGAGTAGAAGAAGGAGGAGGAGAAGGAGGGGGAGGGGGAGGAGGAGAAGAAGGAGGAGGAGAAGGAGGGGGAGGGGGAGGGGAGGGGGAGGGGAGGGGGATGGGGAGGCGGAGTAGGAGAAGAAGAAGAAGAGGAGAAGGAGGAGGATTTCACAGAGGTCAAGGGTGGGTGTGGGGATCAATTAGATCAAGAGAGGGACCCAGGGAGTCTAAGAAGATCAGATGAAAGCTGCCAGGGGCCCAGGTGAGAGGCTCAGGGAGCAGTCTCTTGGGGCCAGGTAAGTGTAGACATGAGGTCCTGGAACTCCTGTTGGATGCAACAGAGTCTGAAGAAAGTTCCAGGTTGTACAGGTAGGATCAGGGGAGGGATTCCAAAAAACCAGGTAAGCTCAGGGGAGGGGTCTCCAAAAGCCCACGTGAGTCAGACAGGGTCAGGAGAGAACCCGAAGTGGTCAGGGGAGGAATTCCAAGGGCCCCAAAAGGGGTCAGGGGTGGGGACCCAGGGGACTCAGGTGAGCTCAGGTAGAGTCAACTGAAGACTCAGACCCCACCCAGTCCAGATGGCCAGCCCCTGACCCACCTGTTGCCCCCCAGGAAGGAGGGGAAGTAGCAGCGGGGCATCCATATGCTATAGCCACTGCCCAGGAGCCACAGGATGGCGATCTCGTCCAGCAGCTGGCCCAGGAAGCTGAGCGTCATGTGGAAGTACATGGAGAACAGACCTGCAGCGGCAAGGGCAGGTGGTCAGTGGGGTCTGCCACCTCCTGCACCCCCACTGCCTCCCGACTATCACAGACCTGAACCACACCTCCCTACCTATGATCATGAAGAGGATCCAGAAAACGTAGATGTAGCGGGAGCGCTTCTGGGCATAGGGGTGCATCAGGAGCATCATCAGTGGCCCGAAGATGAAGAAGGGGATATTGGTGAACTGGAGCAGAGACAGTCATAGGGAGGAGCTTGTCAGATAGAGGAGGCGGAGGAGGCTGCCCTCTGTCCAGACCCTCAGTCACCAGCCAGTCGGTTACCTGCTGCATTTCAGGCAATTCATCAACCCAGGATTTGTCAATCACTCACCTGTCAACCTTTCAGCTGACCTCTTTTTTTTTTTTTTTTTTTTTTTTTTAGATGGAGTCTTGCTGTGTTACTCAGGCTGGAATGCAGTGGTGCCATCTCGGCTCACCGCAACCTCCACCTCCCAGGTTCAAGTAATTCTCCTGTCTCAGATTCCTGAGTAGCTGGGATTACAGGCACACGCCATCATGCCCACCTAATTTTTTATATTTGTGGTAGAAACAGGGTTTCACCATGTTGGCCAGGCTGCTCTTGAACTCCTGACCTCAGGTGATCCACCTGCCTTGGCCTTCGCAAAGCGTTGGGATTACAGGTGTGAGCCACTGCACCTAGCCACTTTTCAGCTGATCTTGACCATCAGCTGGTCATCCACAGATCAATTTCTCAACCTGTTATTGGTTCATTCATTCATTCAATGAGTGTGGCAAAGACTATCCACTAAACTTCCATATATATTCTCCTTCTTCTCTTTTACTTTTTCTACTTATTTATTTTACAGGCAGGGTCTTGCTCTCCGATGCCAGGCTGGAGTATAGTGGTGCGATCACAGCTCATTGCAGCCTCAATCAGCTGAGCTCAGAGGATCCTCCTGCCTCAGCCTCCCAAGTAGCTGGGACTACAGATGCCCACCACCTCACCTGGCTAATTTTATTTTATTTTTTGTAGAGAAGGGGTCTCACTATGTCACCCAGGCTGGTTGCAAGCTCCCAGCCTCAAGAGATCCTCCCACCACAGCCTAAAGTGTTAAGATTACAGGTATGAACCACTGCACCCAGCCTCTTTTCCTGTAGAAATAGTATCTCCCAAGTTTGAGATGGGCACACAGCTTACCCAGTGAAAGACTACATTTCCCAGCCTTCACTGCAGCTCACTGTGGCCTCGTGACCTGCTCTGGCCAATGAGGTAAGAATGTAAATGATATCTACTACTTCCAGGTCAGTCCTTTCAAAAACCACTTAAGGAAAGCTTGCCCCCTTTCCTCTTCCTGTGGACTGAAATGTAGACGTGGGAGTCATGAGTTGACCTTGCCCTTGCAGACAAGGAAAGATGATGCAGTACCCTTTTGACAAACAGCATGAAGCAGACATGATACTGTGTGACTTCTGAGGTTAGGTCATAAAGGAACTGTGGCTTCCACCTTTCTCCATCTCATAGGAAAAGACGTCAGGACCCTAGGCCACCATGCAAGAAGACTGGCTACCCTTGAAGCCACCATGCTAGAGAAACCATGTGTAGAGACCACACTGAGATGGAGGGAGATGCCAGAGGAGGGCCAGTGGTTCAATTCTTCCCCATACAGTCATCAGACACATGAGTGAATGAAACTTCAGGTGATGGCTGGATGTGGTGGCTCATGCCTGTAATCCCAGCACTTTGAGAGGTTGAGGCAGGTAGATCACCTGAGGTCAGGAGTTCGAGGCCAGCCCAAACAACATAGTGAAATGCTACAAAACAGCACGTGAATATACATATATAATATGTGAATATATATTTCACAATAATGTTAAACAATACAAAAATTGGCCAGGTGCAGTGGATCACACCTGTAATCCTAGCACTTTGGGAGGCTGAGGCAGGCAGATCACTTGAGGTCAGGAGTTTGAGACCAGCCCGGGCAACATGGTGAAATCCCATCTGTACTAAAATACAAAAAATTAGCTGAGTGTGGTGGTGGATGCATGTAATCCCAGCTACTTGGGAGGCTGAGGTGGGAGAATTGCTTGAACTCAGGAGGCGGAAGTTGTAGTGAGCTGAGATCACACCATTGCACTCTAGCCTGGGCAACAGACTGAGACTCCATCTCAAAAAAAAAAAAAAAAAAGTTACAAGAACATTTGCACCAAAATTAAATGGCTCAAGACCCTGACGTGCTGACGCCGGACTTTGACTTCCCACAAAGTCTCTCCCTGATATGTCTGAGCCACAGCAAGTCTCTCACATGACAAATACTTATATAATATTGGTGGAAGTGCAAATTGGTACAACCTCTATGGAAAACAATATGCAGAATTTTGGGGATTTTTTTGTTTGTTTGTTTGTTTGTTTTTGAGACAGAGTCTCCCTCTGTCACCCAGACTGTAGTCCAATGGCGCAAACTCGGCTCACTGCAAGCTCCGCCTCCTGGGTTCATGCCATTCTCCTGCCTCAGCCTCCCTAGTAGCTGGGACTACAGGTTCCCACCACCATACCCAGCTAATTTTTCTGTATTTTTAGTAGAGATGGGGTTTCACCGTGTTAGCCAGGATGGTCTCCTGACCTCGTGATCCACCCGCCTTGGCCTCCCAAAGTGCTGGGATTACAGGCGTGAGCCACGGCGCCCAGCCCCAGTTATTCCTTTAGAGCAACACAAACCGAATTAAGACAGATATGGAAAGAAAACCAAGCGATTGATATGAAATGGACAACGTCAGTAAATAGATTACTACAACAATTCTGGACTGCAAGCCCTTCTTGTCAGTGGTCCAAGAACAGATGAGACAGGGCCATGCCAACGTCTCCATGGGCCTCTTCTCAGCCCGTGACCCTAGCTCAGTTACCTCCGTTTGTGCTGATGCACACATACTCCCAAACAAACCCAATGCTCCCGCTGCCTCCAGCCAAATACCAGCCCTTGGATACCAATGCATGCCTGAAGATACTGACCCAACCACTTTCCCAGATTCAAAAGCATCTATTAAAACATGTCTGGGCCTTCCATAAATAAAGTCTAAACTCTTAAACTTGCCTTATAAATTCCTTCCATAACTCATCTCCAACTTTTTCTGTTGTTGTTTTGTTTTTTGTTTGTTTTGTTTTTGTGTTTTTGTGTTGTTTTTTTTTGAGACAGAGTCTTGCTCTGTCACCCAGGCTGGAGTCCAGTGGCGCAATCTCAGCTCACTGTAACCTCCGCCTCCTGGGTTCAAGCGGTTCTCCTGCCTCAGCCTCCCGAGTAGCAGGGATTACAGGCGCTCGCCACCATGTCTGGTTAATTTTTGTATTTTTAGTAGAGGCAGGGTTTCACCATATTGCCCAGGCTGGTCTCGAACTCCTGAACAAAGTGGATCCACTTACCTCAGCCTCTAAAAATCTCCATTTAAAAAGTGTTCAAACTGGGCGTGGTGGCTCACGCCTGTAATCCCGGCACTTTGGGAGGCCGAGGTGGGCCGATCACCTGAGGTCGGGAGTTCAAGACCAGCCTGGCCAACATGGAGAAACCCTGTCTCTACTAAAAATACACAATTAGCCGGGTGTGGTGGCACATGCCTGTAATCCCAGCTACTCAGGAGGCTGAGGCAGGAGAAACACTTGAACCTGGGAGGCAGGAGTTGCAGTGAGCTGAGATCACACGATTACATTCCAGCCTGTGTGACACAGTGAGACTCTGTCCCCCAAAAAATAAATAAAAAATAAAAAATAGGCCAGGCACAGTGGCTCACACCTGTAATTCCAGCACTTTGGGAGGCTGTGGTGGGCGGATCACAAGGTCAAGAGATTGAGACCATCTTGGCTAATACAGTGAAACCCCGTCTCTATTAAAAATACAAAAAAAAAAAAAAATTTTTTAATTTTTTAAAAATTAGCTGGCTGTGGTGGCGGGCACCTGTAGTCCCAGTATTCCCAGCTACTCGGGAGGCTGAGGCAGGAGAATGGCGTGAACCCGGGAGGCAGAGCTTGCAGGGAGCCTAAATCGCGCCACTGCACTTCAGCCTGGGCGACAGACGGAGACTCCATCTCGAAATAAATAAATAGATAAATAATTTAAAAAAAAAACATGTTCATGTCTCCTGTAAATAAAATCTAAACTCTTTTCTTTTTTTTTGAGCCGGAGTCTCACTCTGTTGCCCAGGCTGTAGTGCAGTGGTACAATCTCCGCTCACTGCAAGCTCCGCCTCCCAGGTTCACGCCATTCTCCTGCCTCAGCCTCCTGAGTAGCTAGGACTACAGGTGCCCGCCACCACGCCCGGCTAATTTTTTGTATTTTTTTAAGTAGAGACGGGGTTTCACCGTGGTCTCGATCTTCTGACCTCGTGATCCGCCCACCTCGGCCTCCCAAAGTGCTGGGATTACAGGCCTGAGCCACCGCGCCCGGCCAAAATCTAAACTCTTAGACATGCCATATAAAATTATTCCTAACTCATCTCTCCCCAACTCAAAAAAAAGAAAAAGAAAAAAAAAAAAAACAAAGGTGGAAAGACTAGATAGGGGGTGGTGATTAAGAAGGCGCTCCCCTGCTGCCTGACCCTGTGACTGATGCCTCTTGGTTTCTCTCTGCTTGTATCAGTAAAAGCAGAGTACATCATCAATGGTACCTTGCAGGCTGATATAGGGCATGCACAAGACAAGGCATTGTCCAGGATGTGATATGAGCTCAAAAAATAGCTGGGGTTGCTGCTGCTATTATTGTTGAGGGAGAAAATAATAACAACAGGCCTGTTACGGGTATCATTATTCCAAGTTTAGGGGCCAGTAGAGTCCAGCCAGGGATTATCAACAGTGCTCCCAAGCGCTCAGAAGGAGGACAGAGCTGTGAGTGGAGAAACTGACTAAAGGAGGGCCCCGACTGGCTCCGGAGTCTCTGAGAACATCAGAAACCACCCGGATGCCAGGGTCTCCCTCCCTGTCCTCTGGGGCTCAGCCCCCACATTCCCTGCTTCTCACCCCACCCAGGCCCTCCCAGGGAGGGGAGACACCTGTCTGGGATCCCATCCGAAGCCAGCCCAGTCCTGAACTCTGGACACAAGTGAGCTGGACCTTCTGGGTCTCAGCTCCAGCAGGTGACATCACCTCCTTCCCTTCATTCATTCATTCATTCATTCGTTCGTTCGTTCAAGCATCCCTTGAGTACCTATTATGTATGTGCTCAAGGACCATACTAGT